AAATCAGTAGATCCAGCATTGTCTATCATTCCTTAAGTTAGAATACATAATTCATTTAATTCTTCCCCAAAACCAAGATTTTCAGCCATTTCTTTAGCTGCATCCATATTTGTAGAATTGATAATAGTTGTCGATAAATCTGTTAATTTCTAAATTTCTTTTATGATAGCTCCAGCTAATTAACCAAAAGTTCTTAAATAAATTTCATTAATAATTTTTTTTATTTCACTACAAGCTTATTCATAAGTTGATTTAATCAATGAAATTTAAGCAGCAATAAATGCAACTAATGATAAGGCTGACGATGAATAAACAAGATAAAAATTGGGGTTGATAATGGCTCCTAAAAGAAGCCATACTATGATTAATCCAAAATAAAAGAATACACTAAAAGCCAAAATTAAAAATTGTATCCATTAAAACCAATTAAAATATTTCATGAATTTATTTTAGTACAATTTAAATTCCCACATATAGCCTACTTCATCTGGGAAGTAAGATAATAAATATTTGACACTTTAGAATAAAAATGTAATAATTGCATAGTAAGCTAATAATATACCCAGAACTAAAACCCAATAATCCAAAATACCAAAATAGTCAGTTATGGTCCAAGGTCTGCTTAATGCATCTTCCATAAACAATAAATTTTTAGGATCGTATATAGAGAATGGAGAGTAAGATGTATTAATAATAATAATAAAATAAAGTAAAGGAACTATGGTAATTGCAGTAACTAAAAAGTTTCCTAAAACTACAATTATATCTGATATAATCCATCCATTCATATACAGAGCATCAAAATAGTCCATCAAAACATTTCCTTCAAAATCTTCTCTATATGAATATTCTCGATTAAAGATTCTTGTCTTATAATTGAAAATCAGACTTTAAATAAACATGAAAGGATAATTGTAATAGAATACAAAATTATTTAATTATCTTGAACCCATAGTTTTAATTGGATTTTATTAAAATTTATTTATTTCTGAGTTTCTTCTTAATAAAAATACTGGTTGTTCAAGATAATAATCTTCAATGAATGGAATATAATAAGTGCATTTACCCAAGAATCTAATATACCATGATTATCTTTATTAAATTCCAGTTTTAACTTTTCTCAATTCATAAGCTTTAAGATCTGAAATCAAGAGTCCATAATCATTTGAGATATCTTTAACATTAAATTATTCAATCTTCAATGTTTTGCCACAGAACTTACGATATGCTTTTTCAAGTTTATCAGATGGGACGACATCAGCTGGAATTCCTGTCAGTAAACACTAAGTGGCTATAAATAGCTCTAATGAGTTTCCAGATGTTTTTTCCTCATCACTAAGCTCTTAATAAGATTTTGCATTTGGATTCAATTTGATTTTTGATAATATCAGAACATCATCTTTTTCTGCAAATTCAAAACCGTATTATTCCAACAATTATTCTTATTAAGATAATGGTTCAATAGTAAGTTTATTCAGAAAACAGAATTATTCATATTATTCTTTCACTTCTTCTTCATCAATACATAAATATTGTTTTTCTAATGTTTGCTTATAATATTATTCTGTTTATAATTTATTACTCTTTTTGAAAATGGTTTTGCAAAACATTTTTGGAGCACTCTTAAATGATGATTAACCAAAAACATAAAATATATATGATAGAACACCTAATAAAATGGGAGGGTCTTTTTTAGAAGCTAGCTGGTCTAATTTTTAAATCATTCTTTTTGCAATATCTGCTAATTTATCCTTTGTACTTTATGTTGTTGTTGCGCTATAATTTTAAAATTAGGCAGAAGTTTCTAAAACATAAGTTTCTAATCCTTGTAATGAAACTATCAAAACAAATATACAAACAAGGCCAAATATTAAAGAGGATAATAACGATAAACCAATGGCTGCAATAAAAAAAGGATCATATTTTAAAGGTTCATAAACAATATTATTGGCAATATTTTATATAGTAGACCAATTTTCAAATTTTCCCCTTTATTTTTCTCCTAATGGTTCAAAACCTGGATAAGTAAGATTTTCATTCAATGTTTCATTTTGTTTAATAAAATTATCTTTTTAAATGAATATAGCTTCACCATAGGTAGTGTTAAAAGTTCTTTTAATGAGTTCTTGAATTTTTAATGTTTGTCTAGCATTCAAAGCTGGATTCCAAGGGCATAATCCTGGATCTGTACTGACTTAAAAATGTGCAAAAGTAGGATTCAAAAAAGTAGCTGAAAATGCAGACAACCACCATGGTTAAAAAGCTGCATATGATGGATTACTGAAAAAGGACCAATATGTACTATAAGTATGTTGTAGTAAGTAATGACCTCCAATATCAAGTCTTACAGCAACATCTGCAGATCCACTTTTATTCATAAATTGTTATATCTTAAGCAAAGATTCTTGATCAAAATTTAAATTCCCAGATTCAAAAGGATAAGTTTACAATTAATAAAATTCATGAACACCTTCTATTAATGGTTTTCCTATATCAGATAGTATATTTGCATAAATTGTGCTTGAATTACCAATTATATTTATAGTTTATAAAGAGTTGCACGATCCTTCTTCACATAAATCCATCGAGCCAGTGCAAGTTTTCCCTTCCAAGTTTGATTAGTTTGCTTCTAAATAACAATTTTCCTCAAAAATATTTAACATATCGTATGCTGTCGAACAAACAGCTTAAGATTGTGATGAAAAATTCAAAAAGTATGATTATGTTGATTAAATGATTATATCACCACTTAGCATTTTAATTTTACCTTCCGTGATTAAAAAATGATTCAAAAATAAATTACCAGACGATTCTGAATTAAAAATAAAACTTTTTGTTTTAATATTTCTAATGTTAATCTACATTTTTGCTTTTGGTTCTGATGTAGCATTAAATAAACTATCCACTTCTAAGTTTTCTAATCCAAATGCCATTACACATTCTGATTCATATCTACAAATAATATTTAAATTATCAATTTATTTTGGCAGTTACAAATCAATCATACATGTTTTTTACTAATTTTTATAAATATATATTGATACATTAAGGTTTGGATCATAAAATGTCAGGTTTGCTACACCAGTGTCTAAAATTTATCCCATTATCCTAAAATCATCAGATCCATTTACTTATTAACTCATACTACCTTTAGCCTTAAATGAAAACTAAAATATAAATTTTTCATTTTACTTTCAAATAATCTTCAGATTGACTCACATTTAGGAAACAGTTACCAACATATATATCAATATTTGCAGTATCTTTTCCGGCACTCCAAGAAGAATTTTTAACTGTTACAAAATATCCCCAAGCAAAAAATGCAACTACAAGTCCTATGAACAAGAATTATAGTATTAGTCTTGTTAATCTTCGAAGTAAGATCATTCCTGAATATATACTAAAAATAGAATTCATTCAAACCTTTCTAAGCGACTCTCATTCTCAGCTTTGTTTGTGACTCTATTATCTCCTTATTTTTATTGTTTGAATTAGATCATCCATTTGTTTAATTAGTCTTTGCTTCCTACTAGTTAGGCCTTTATTTTTTAGTCATCATTCTTGATTGATATAACAAATATCATACCCCTATTTCTCCATATGAAATTAACTCTAAGTCATCTCTAGGGGTTGGCCTTTCTTTGTAACTTAATAATTCATAATCAGAATTCTCCAGTGGATAAACCTTTCTAGGTTGACCAGGGGCTTGGTTTTAGTCTGTATTATTCATATCTTTTTAAATATGTATTTTAATAATGGAAAAGAAGAAGCAAGATTTTCGGTTAAATAATAAGAATTATTTCTAGCGTTACAAAGTTCTATTTTATATTAATTATTTAATCTGAATATATAAATAAAATTATTGAATTATTATTTAATATTTTATATTCATTTTGATATTTTTAATTAACTTTTCAGCTTTAGTATTCAATAAGTTCTAATCTAATGCTGCCTTATTTTCTATTAAAATTAATAATAACATTTAATTAAATATTTTGAATGGGTTATTCAATTTTTTCTTAATATATATTCTTTCAAGTTTGAAGCTAGAATTGGTAATTATTAATTAATATAACTTATAAATTTGGATTGTATTTTTTTAATATAAATATTCTTTTCATTTAATATAAATCTAAAGTTTTAATTTTCAATATATTGGTCTCAAAGTTAATGCTTTTGTTCACGATGAAATTAAAATTTTTTTTTGAATTTTCATATATTATAATATTTATCATATTTGTAATTAATTCTTCAAAGTTTTCTGAAATGAAAAAATCTTTTCAAGTTAAATTCAATTGCTATTTATTTGATTTCGAATCATTTAATAACCTTATAACACTTTAAAATAATATGATTGATAAAATAAAAAATATGCTTTTTTTTTTAAATTCAATATTAATTTAATGTACATTTTAGTATGCTATTAATAATCTACTAATTATTATGACTTATTATTAATAATATATTTTTAAACTTGATAGAAATTAAATTTGAAAAAATTGTCTTAGCATACTTAAATTATTTCGCCCAAAGAGAAAATCTAAATTAATTATCATTTTTTTTCAAAAATAAATTTTGATAGAAAATCAATTCTGATAAACCAGATTATAAATTTTGCTATTTCAAATACTAAAAAAAACCTCTAATGATTTAAATGAAATAAGAATTAAGTTTAGAAGAAATTTAAAAGAAGAAATAAAATTATCAAAAACATATGCTTTATGATTTATTTGAATGAGAATAAAGGAAAATTTTACTGATTAGATTATCAGATAGCCAACAAATTTTTGATTTAAATTCTAAATTTTTTTAGGAATAAAATCTCCGCTTATTATAACAATTATTTTTATCAACAATACTTATGTTAATGTAATGATTAATTTAATATCAGTTGAGTTAATATGAGCTATAATGAATAACTGCCTTAATAATGTTTATATATATATTTTATATAAAATACATAACTATTGATTAATTATTAGTTTAAATAAAATTAAAAAATGCTGCAATTTGATTAAGAGAAACCAATAGGAAATTAATATAAAATTACTAGTAAGCTTGGAAGTGGATCATTTGGTGAAGTGTTCAAAGGAGTAAACACTGAAACTAATGAAGTAGTAGCTATAAAATTGGTAAAATTTGAATTTGATTAAACCTTAATTAGGAAAGTTAAGAAGCTTAGATGCCATAAATAAAACATGAATTTTAAATATTATCTGCAATTTAAGGAAATGGTATATTTAATTTCTTTTCTTAAGGTATTCCAAAAGTACACTGGTTTGGGTAATGGGAAGATAAAACTGTGATGGTTATGGAATTATTGGGCTATAATTTAGAATAGCTATTCAATTTAGTGAACCGAAGATTCGAATTAAAGACTATGTTAATGCTTATAGATTAAATGGTATTCTAATGAAAAAGATCAATTAGTTTTTAGATAGATATTATATCTCTCCTCCATTCAAGAGGATATTTATATCGCGATGTAAAACCTGAAAACTTCTTGACGGNTATTTATCATATTTGTAATTAATTCTTCAAAGTTTTCTGAAATGAAAAAATCTTTTCAAGTTAAATTCAATTGCTATTTATTTGATTTCGAATCATTTAATAACCTTATAACACTTTAAAATAATATGATTGATAAAATAAAAAATATGCTTTTTTTTTTAAATTCAATATTAATTTAATGTACATTTTAGTATGCTATTAATAATCTACTAATTATTATGACTTATTATTAATAATATATTTTTAAACTTGATAGAAATTAAATTTGAAAAAATTGTCTTAGCATACTTAAATTATTTCGCCCAAAGAGAAAATCTAAATTAATTATCATTTTTTTTCAAAAATAAATTTTGATAGAAAATCAATTCTGATAAACCAGATTATAAATTTTGCTATTTCAAATACTAAAAAAAACCTCTAATGATTTAAATGAAATAAGAATTAAGTTTAGAAGAAATTTAAAAGAAGAAATAAAATTATCAAAAACATATGCTTTATGATTTATTTGAATGAGAATAAAGGAAAATTTTACTGATTAGATTATCAGATAGCCAACAAATTTTTGATTTAAATTCTAAATTTTTTTAGGAATAAAATCTCCGCTTATTATAACAATTATTTTTATCAACAATACTTATGTTAATGTAATGATTAATTTAATATCAGTTGAGTTAATATGAGCTATAATGAATAACTGCCTTAATAATGTTTATATATATATTTTATATAAAATACATAACTATTGATTAATTATTAGTTTAAATAAAATTAAAAAATGCTGCAATTTGATTAAGAGAAACCAATAGGAAATTAATATAAAATTACTAGTAAGCTTGGAAGTGGATCATTTGGTGAAGTGTTCAAAGGAGTAAACACTGAAACTAATGAAGTAGTAGCTATAAAATTGGTAAAATTTGAATTTGATTAAACCTTAATTAGGAAAGTTAAGAAGCTTAGATGCCATAAATAAAACATGAATTTTAAATATTATCTGCAATTTAAGGAAATGGTATATTTAATTTCTTTTCTTAAGGTATTCCAAAAGTACACTGGTTTGGGTAATGGGAAGATAAAACTGTGATGGTTATGGAATTATTGGGCTATAATTTAGAATAGCTATTCAATTTAGTGAACCGAAGATTCGAATTAAAGACTATGTTAATGCTTATAGATTAAATGGTATTCTAATGAAAAAGATCAATTAGTTTTTAGATAGATATTATATCTCTCCTCCATTCAAGAGGATATTTATATCGCGATGTAAAACCTGAAAACTTCTTGACGGGAATAAATAAAAAATATAATACCATCTATATAATTGATTTTGGTTTGTCAAAAAAATTTAAGGACAAAAAGACAGGTGAACATATTCCTTACAAGGAGAATAAAGGATTGATTGGGACTGCTAGATATGTTAGTCTTAATACTCATCTTGGGATAGGTATTCATTTATCCATAGGGTAGAATAAAGTAGAAGAGATGACATGGAATCTTTGGGATATTTATGGTTATATTGTTTAAAAGGATCTTTACCTTGGCAAGGACTTGATGCAACTAATAGGGAAGAGAAATATGAATTGATTAAGACTATTAAATAAACAATTTCAATTGAAGATCTGTGTCATGGATTGCCAAAAGAGTTTGTTAAGTACTTCCAACATTGTAGATAACTTAAATTTGATGAAGAACCTGATTACAAGAGGTTTAAAATGTTATTTAGGGATTTATTTTTTAAATTAGATTTTATCTGGGATTACTAATTCGATTGGATTGAATCGCTCTAACAAGAATAAATCTAGTCCATAATCCATACTAAATTTAGCAGAAACTCTTTATCAAGCCTTAAAGGAGGAAGTATTTAAATTTTCCAATATTTAGGTCAAATACTTAAGACAGATGAAGAGGATGAGGTTTAAGAAAAAATTGAATTTAAAATTGGAGGGGATTCATAATTGAACTAAAAAAATATTAAACCTTTAATAAATTTAGATAAACTTATCAGCAAACCAAATTTATTTGAAAGCATCTTCAAATGATTATAATAATAATATGATAAATTATATGTTAAAAAAAAATAATCTATTATGATAGCAATCTGTTACTTTTTAAATATATATTTTTTTTATTTATCAAATATTCTCGCTCCTCTGGAATGATATATAATGGCTAGATGGGAAGCCATTGTTATAATTTATATTAGTTTATTGGCCCTACTAATTCAAATTAAAACTTTAAATATACAAGATATTGTAATAATTCCTCTAAATGTTTCACATACGTTTTTAAACCTTAATTTTCCCTCTCAAGCCTAATTAAATCATTTTCTTGATTTTTTATTAAATATTAGGCTGATTTAACTTGGTCTTCTGCATAATTTGTCATAAATTATTCATTTTTTTTCGATATGTCTAATTCTCTCTTAAGATTTTCGATTTCTTAATTTTTCTATTAAATAATTTCCTTATGATCTTGCATAATTTCAAATAAAAATTATTGAAAAAAAAATGTGCAAAAAAAATACTATTTTATTTTGAATGTTGAAATTCATATAAATTAGTTATTTCTGAACAACACCTGAATAATGAAATAGTTTTGATTTAATATCTATGAGAATTACGTTAAAATATAAATTAAATAATTTGTCTGTTTATATTAATATACTCATTAACTTCATTATTTTTTTGGACTCTATTAAATATTATTCTTATTATTTAATTATTTCTTTTGTTAAAATTTATTGTTTTGATGGTTTTAGGTCTGGGGTCGATTGTAATTGGAAGTCTGATAAAAACCAGGATTATTAGAAGATTATTATTGTTATTATTATTACTATTACTATTATTATTGTATGGGTTATTATTATAATTGTTGCTATTAATTCCAAAATGTAGGTTAGGCTATAATTATAGTAAAATATACCAACTCCGTACCAAGGGCTTTAGTAATAATATGCACATTATTAATAATATTGATTTTGAAATTATTACTATTTTCTTCTTTAATAAGAAGCTACTGAGAAAGTGAATGGCATAGATTCAAAGACACTAATATATTCTTAAAACTAAATGAGAAAATTTGGATTAGAATCTCTTTCATTTCTCTTCCTTTTCTAAGAAATAAAGTGTAATAAAATACTTCTGAATTATCCAATTCCTTAAATGACTTTAACATGCAGCTTTTTTAAGTCTAATTTTGAAAGGCAGAATAGATTATATCTCCATTTTCAATTTAAGTGCAATCAATCAATTCGTGAATACATTTTCCACTTGATTGTTGAATTGAACTTAATTCGCTATATGGTAAATCTCTTACAAAGACCTTTTGTTTATAGGATTATTACCCATTCAATCTAAAATGATCCAAACCATTTATTCTCTTCTGCCCAAAACATAAAATGCATATTTTCCCTAAAATTACTAACAATTTTAGCCAATCCAATAAAGTGTGATGTTTAGGTAACATTAAATAATAAATAAACTGGACGTGTTGCATCATTTAATTTCTAATTATTACGACTCGAACTAAAGAATTTTATGTATAACTACCTAGTCCAAATCCCATATTTAATAGCACGATGAACATTATCTTTAGTTGGAGCACGTATCAAAAAATAAGTTGCTTCTTGTTCAAGGGGTTGATGAATTTTTTGAAGACATTTAAATGTTTAAGTTACTTCTTCAAAATTATCATAATTATCTAAATATTATGCCTCAGGTTATGGACAAATAGGATTTGTTTGCATATTAATATATTATTTATTTAAATATTAATTCATGGATGTATGTTTNTATTAATATACTCATTAACTTCATTATTTTTTTGGACTCTATTAAATATTATTCTTATTATTTAATTATTTCTTTTGTTAAAATTTATTGTTTTGATGGTTTTAGGTCTGGGGTCGATTGTAATTGGAAGTCTGATAAAAACCAGGATTATTAGAAGATTATTATTGTTATTATTATTACTATTACTATTATTATTGTATGGGTTATTATTATAATTGTTGCTATTAATTCCAAAATGTAGGTTAGGCTATAATTATAGTAAAATATACCAACTCCGTACCAAGGGCTTTAGTAATAATATGCACATTATTAATAATATTGATTTTGAAATTATTACTATTTTCTTCTTTAATAAGAAGCTACTGAGAAAGTGAATGGCATAGATTCAAAGACACTAATATATTCTTAAAACTAAATGAGAAAATTTGGATTAGAATCTCTTTCATTTCTCTTCCTTTTCTAAGAAATAAAGTGTAATAAAATACTTCTGAATTATCCAATTCCTTAAATGACTTTAACATGCAGCTTTTTTAAGTCTAATTTTGAAAGGCAGAATAGATTATATCTCCATTTTCAATTTAAGTGCAATCAATCAATTCGTGAATACATTTTCCACTTGATTGTTGAATTGAACTTAATTCGCTATATGGTAAATCTCTTACAAAGACCTTTTGTTTATAGGATTATTACCCATTCAATCTAAAATGATCCAAACCATTTATTCTCTTCTGCCCAAAACATAAAATGCATATTTTCCCTAAAATTACTAACAATTTTAGCCAATCCAATAAAGTGTGATGTTTAGGTAACATTAAATAATAAATAAACTGGACGTGTTGCATCATTTAATTTCTAATTATTACGACTCGAACTAAAGAATTTTATGTATAACTACCTAGTCCAAATCCCATATTTAATAGCACGATGAACATTATCTTTAGTTGGAGCACGTATCAAAAAATAAGTTGCTTCTTGTTCAAGGGGTTGATGAATTTTTTGAAGACATTTAAATGTTTAAGTTACTTCTTCAAAATTATCATAATTATCTAAATATTATGCCTCAGGTTATGGACAAATAGGATTTGTTTGCATATTAATATATTATTTATTTAAATATTAATTCATGGATGTATGTTTATTATTTATTTACTTTAGACTGTTTCAGATATCAATCCAAGACCTTTTCTTGAAGAAATCACAAGAAAACAGATCATTGTCAGATTAAAATGGGGATGGGAATTACGAGGTAATTATCATCATATAATATTAGGGGTTTTAAAAAGCTCTGATTAATACATGAATTTACATGTAATTTTATATCTATTATTATATAGATGTTAAATACAGAAGAATATGTTGATGGAAAAAGCAGAGGAATTTTAGGCGAAGTTTTGGTTAGATGTAACAATGTTTTGTACATTCGATAATGTCCTGATGAAAAATGATCCTAAATTTATATAAAATGCATTAAATTTTAGATATCTGACAAAAATGTTCATAGAAGCTATCTTATTTAAACAAGTTACTATTATAAAGTTTAGGTTTAAATTTTAGATTTTGGATTATTGTTGTAAATTTTATAAATTTATGAACCCTAATCAACTTAAATTCCCAATAAATTATTAACCTCTTTATTATATTTTTTAGACTTTTATTACATAAAAAATTATCATTTTTTTTAATTTTAAATTTCTAATATAATGATAATAATATTGGTCATCTCAAAATTTATATCTAATTCAATTAAATAATAACATGATACATTTCAGATAAAATAGAGCTAAGTTTTGCTAATAAATTTTCAATACAAAAAAGAATGATTGCAAAAAGAGATTAATTCTAAAAATTTTAATAATATAGGCATTATTAAAAGATTATAGAAAACAACAAATATTATTATTTTTAAATATGTTCATTGAAAATAATTTAAGATTTTTAAAATATCTACACAATTAAAAAAGATTCAATAATAAAATAAAAAATAAATCAATTACATGAGCTTATACAATTTCAGATATTCATTGCTATTACAATTATGTTTAAAATCAAAAAAAAAACTATAACAATATTAATAGCATTTTATTAAAGATATAATTAGTAAATTAATTAGTTTAATATTCATTTAAGATGTTTAAAAAGAATTGCCATTCAGAGAATTTTCAACTTTTTAGTTTTTTTTTAATATGCTTAAATAATTCTTTCTTTGGTAATGGCTTGATTAGAATTTGATAAATAAATTTAAACCAAATAGATTAAATAAATTTATGAATAGTTTAAAAATAAAATTAAGTTTTTGAAGCATAGTAGAAGCTATGAAAAATTAATTAAATTAATGAACAATCTTAAAAGGAGTTAAAGAAAAAATTTTCTGCTTCAAAATCATACTAATCTATAATTAGAAAAAGAAATAAAAGTTATAATATAAAAAAAAATTGTAATTTAAAAAAAAAAGTTATCTTTATGAGGTATATTTTCCAATTATGATGTTAATTATAGTTCGATAAGATAGAGTCAAAAGACTTTTATAATAATTAACAATAAGAATATTGGCTTTAGAGTGTTAAAAGTAAAATTAATTTATTTATATCTATTAAAATAAATAAAAGAGGTTGTATAATTTTATTATATATAAATATAGACAAATTTTCCTTAGAAATCTATTTTTAATGCTCATTTATGAAATTGAAAATTTCCAAGACTAATTTGAGAAAATCAAACTGAAAGAGAATAAAAAAAATACTTTAGATAGTAATTTTTAATTTATAGATTTTAAAGATTATTAGGACAACAATATAAAGATGTTTATCATTTAATGAAAAATGCTTAGAAATAGTTAGTACAATTAATTATATATATATATACATATATTATCAAATAATAATTAAATGAATCATAAAATCACAATCATTTGCCCATTATTTGAAACAGGTTCAGGAAAGGTATATCTCGCAGAAGAAGTGATTTAGAATAGTTAGATAATAAAATATTTTGCATTTGAATTTAGATAAGATTATGTGGAAAAAGGATATTTTTTAGAAGGGGTGAAAATTTTAAAAAATCTAAAAAAGTCAAGTTTATTTAGAAACTATTAGTATATGTATAAGAGTCTCCCTTAAGAAATTTTTTTGTTTGATTATATAGAAGGTGAATTCTTAGAGAAAAAAATAATGGAGAATAATAAATAACTAAAGTCGTTTGATAATTCTGAAATATAAACATATTTAAAATAACTATTAGAAGCTCTTTATGAACTTCATTCAAATAAAATACCTGGTAGATTATTTTCTGTTTAAAACATTTTATATTCCTAAGCAAGTAAAAGATTAATTCTAATGGATTTTGGGTTTGGCTGTGAAATAAATTAAGAAAAATTAGATATTTTAGCTCCTCCAGAATATTTAGAAAGTTTAATTGAGAAAAGTAAGAATATTTTATAATATAGAATAAAATGATTAAGAATTTGATTTAAAATTTGATTCTTGGCTTGTAGGAGCATTTTTATACAACTTAATAAAATTGAAACCAATAAATATTATAGAAATACAAAAAAATACGCTTGAAAAATTAAAATATGATAGAAAAGAATAATATTTATAATATTTAAAATAAAAGAAGACAATTTCATGTTATACTAGTAGATACAATATAAATCTATGTTATTTTGTGGAGAGTTTACTAACTTATAATAAAGAACAAAGATTATCATTCTATGAGATATATCAACATTAGTACATTTAAAGTCTTTAAATAGAAGAGGAGAAAAAATATTTAAATTTTTATAAAAACATATCTATGATTTCAGATTACTTTTAAGTGGTATCTACGGATTAATTAAAGGGACCTAATGAAAATACAGAAATTCATATACAATAAGGAAATTAATAAAAGTAGAAATCACAATTTACTTCTTCTGTGGATAGTTAATAAAAGTAAAAACAAAAACCTAGAATAATAGAGATATCACCTATAAAAAATTAAAAAATAAATAAAAAGTTTCCTGATTATTAAAGTGTTATTATGAAATAACCTGTTTTTCAAAATAAAAAGTTTGATAACTTTTTCCTTTAAATACAATTAGATTATTTAAGATGTTGTATATTAGCAGAAACTGCAGAAAAAATAATAACTTTATTACCAAGATATAAATATCCTTTTGAATATGTTCTTGCATATTTTGTTAAGAAAATGCATCTCATGATTTTGAGGGAAACTGATCATTATTTGAAATCAGATTTTTATAAAAATAATTATGATTTAGATTGGTAGGCATTTTTAAAAGACTATTCTAAAGATTTATTAATTTGTCCAGAAATAAGTTACTATTGTGACAAATTAATGAAAGAAATAATAGAAATGTTTAGAGATCATTGTTATATTCATTTACAAGGAAATTCTGAACTTTCTGAGACATTAAAAAAATCTTTATCAAATTCTCTTGCTCAAAATCATAATATAATATTTACTTCTGAAGAATTTTTAGATAAGGGCTATTCTGAAGCTCTTGAAATATTATTCGAATGTGTAAACTAGATAAGAGCTTAAAATGATAAGTCAGAGGAATTATAATTATTTTAGAAATAAATTTATATATGCATTACAATAACAAGTATCAATCTAGAAAACTTTCAATAGACATTCAGAGAAATGCTTCCAGAAAATCAATAAATTAAACCTAGAGATATAATTCTTCATCTTAGATTAAGCAGTCACAATTGATGAGATATCAATAAAATCATAAATCATAAATTATAAAATTTTTATATATGAAAAATGAAATAGTACTTTATTATAAATCTTAATAAAAATAATAATTGTGTAGAAGTGATAATTTGATGTTTTCTAAATATATTTAAATTCCTATATAGAATATAAATAATTAACATTTAAGCTTATTAATGAAAATAAATATTTTTGAATAAATGAAAAATATGATGATAATAATCTAAAGAAATGAATAAAATTAAGAGAATATAAATAGCATTATTGTTGCTAAAGATTTTTATATTAGATAATCAGACAAGATATAAGTAAATCTCATGGTTTGTTATTCAATCTAGAGAGTTCAAGAACTCTTCAAAGTCCTTTTGAAATTCAATAGTAGAATCAACTTAATCAAAATTCTTACTCATCGGATTTTATGCTTCTGCTCTTATAGATTCAATAAAGTAAACATCTTCTTCAACCGAACTCTCTGATTTAGCGAATTCATTTTTTTAGCAAATTGAATATATCATTTTAACCAGAGGAGGTGTTAAGAGATATGACATAAATAAATAATTATTTTAATATCAAATTAGAAGTTATTTCCAATATAAGAGAAGGAAATTTAAAAAATAATGTATCGAATGATTTATATATTATTAATCATTTTCTGGTTCTCTTTTAGATTTCTTAAACAATAAGTTCAAGTGATGCTCCATTTTATAAAAATGAGTGTTAAATTAATTATGGAATGCTAATCCTTTTATCAGGATCAGGTTCCAACATTTGCATAATCATTTCTTTAAACTCTATAGGATACTTTTGTTATCTATATTACTCACATTTCTTCCAAAAAACATCATATTATTAATTCAATATCATATTCCACCATTAATCTCTCATAGCTGGATCATTACTTTAAAATGGTGGGAAACCCATAACAACAATAAATATTACAACACCTAAAGCAAAAATATCACATTTAAATAAATCTAAATTATTTCCTTTATAAATTTCTGGTGCTGTATATCCAGGTGTACCACCAGGAGGTCTTTATACTTATTATGTAATTCTAGCAAATCCAAAATCACATAGTTTCACTTTATAATCTGCAGCTATTAATATATTCTCTGGCTTTATATCACAATGAGCAACTGAATGATTATGTAGAGTGGCTAAAATATTAATTAAATGGCAAGCAATAGTTTTTGCAAGAGATATATGGAATGGTCCTTTTTTTAATATTCTAAGAAATGTGTCATGAGGCATATACTCTAATAAAACACAAGTATAATCTTAAGCATGACCTTTTATTTAAACTACTCCTGGATGATCTATTAATTTAAGTATTCTTATTTCGTTCACTAAATAAATATAAATAAAACCTGGAGATTATTAAGATGATCTGCTGTTATTGAAGTAAGTACTTTCAAAGCAAACATTTCTCCTGTTCGTTTATGCATTGCTAAATATACTTTAGCATCATGACCTGAACCTAAAGGAGGATTTGGGTTCACTAAATAATTAGACTAAAAGTCTTGTTGAGTGAAGACTATTATATTTTTTTCTTGTTTCATTTAATATATATTATTTATTATTCAAATTATATTTATATCATAAATATTATATTATAATAAAATAATTCAATATTAACATAATAATTTATTTGTAATACATGCTATCATATATTTTTATCTATTTTAATTATCATTTTCTAATTTAAGTTTATTTTGAATAACCCACAATCATGATTCATCTACATATTATCATGAATCATCTACAAACTCTTTTTTCATTCTTTTAATTTAATTTTACCATTATCATTTTTATCAAAAATATTTATCATAATTTCTATATCTTCTTATTTTAATTCATTATTTATTCTATTTTCTTCAATAATATTAAAAAATGTTAATAAGATTATAATATATTTTTATGATAAAATCTTCTATAGTTTGATTTTTTACTAAGCAAAGGATATAAATATTATTTGAATTATTTTAAATCAATATACCCATTTTTATCTTTTTTAGATTAAACTAAATAAATTTTATCATATCAACACTAAGAATTTTTTAGAATAAATCTAAATATAAAATAATTTCTTTTAACAATTACTTCTAAATTTCATTTCTAATTTAAAATTTACTCTTCATCATTTATAGTTCATAAATTTCTTACTTTCATCCTTCATATCACTGTTTTAACTAGCTTTATTGCATCATCTTATTGAGTATATATATTTATTTCTTTTTTGACAGTCCATAAGTACTTTTACCTAATTTACCTGTATTAGATATGTATATATAAGATTCGATTATTTTTTTGTTTGTCTTAAGTATTTCAAAAAGAAGCTGATTAAATAATAAATTACATGTCTTATAAATTATATAATTATGAATTTAATAATCGATAATAATAATAAGTTTAATGTCTTTTTTTGTCATCTTAAAATTGCATCATAATCCTTTATAATTTATTGTTAATATTTTGTAATAAAAAAATATAGAATTTTTGTAATATTTGTAATATTGGTTATAAAAATTATGATATTTCTATAAACAAGTTTTTCATGAATCTACCCTACAAATAAATTACTAATTTTATGTTCATTATAATTTTTGTTTTAAATTCATTATTTTATAATATTGAGATAATTTTTTTCGTAAAATTTTCACATATATATCATTTTTATATGATAAAATATATAAAAATTTTATTTTTTAGACATAATTCATGAAGAGGTAAAGATCATAGTCGTGGGAACCTTAAAGTTTTGAAAATAGTGAATTAATACGATAACAATCAGAAAGACCAATAAATGTTGAAAATGTATGAAAAAATCAGATATAGAGCATTTTTTCTATGATTGTGAATCATAATGTTATTAAGGATATTTCAATTATTGATACTTACAAAGAGATTGATAACATATCTATGCACAAAAAACATTTTGTGAATTATGTAATAAAAATTAAGACTGATTACTTTGATTATACAATTGCTAAAAGATATTCAGAATTTGAAAAACTTTATGATTAAGTAAATATTATGAATATTTATTTAGATTTCGAATATTTTACATAAATTACCAAAATTTCCTGAGAAAAAATTGATAAAATCTAACTCAAAAAAAAATATTGCAGAAAGAAGAGAAATGTTAGAATGTAAATCATATAATAAATTCATATATTAGAATTACTGAAATATATTTTAAGAAATCTTAATAATTAAATGCATAACTTTTTAAACTTTTTAAATATTTAATGTGAGTTATGTTGATTTATGTAGAATAATTTTTAAAAGGAGGTTTTGGTTAAAATGTTAGACTTCATGAAATGAGTAAAGATGAATTTGGATTAAGTGATTTAAAAGAATAAACAAAATTAGTTGCTTCAAATGATTAAGAAAAAATGATATTTCATTATATAACAAAACTTAATGAGAGAACTGATGAAAGAAGCAAAATATTTTAGTATTATAAAATAAATAAAAATAGAAAAATGGAAAAATATTTTTTTGGGAAAACCTAACATTTGGGATCATAAGTATTAAAATTTATGTTAATTGGGGATGACTAAGGACAAAAAGGAATCATTGAATTATTAAAAAATACATCAAAAGATTCTTAATCGCATATATCTTGTATAAGTGGAATGTAATTCTTAAGGAAAATGTTAGAATATGACTATAATCCATGTATGAAAAAATAAATAATTTAAAATAGATGCAGAATTTTATTTAAAAGTATTTTCTGAAGTAAGTATTAAATAACTTAAAAAAATGGGTATCTCATTTCATATATGTGGAAATAGTAAATAACTTTGTAAATAAGATACTTTGCTATTAATTTATAAATATGTTAAAGTTAATGATTTAAAACCAGAATTCATATCTTTTTTAGTATTATTATTAATATGAGTAAATTAGTTAGATGATTAAGAAGCATTAAATGAATTCTAATAATTTAAGGAAGCATATTAATAAAAAAAAGAAGAAGGATTTTAATTAATAGTTGATAGTGTTGAGAATCTATAAAAAGAAATAATTTCTGTAAAATCAAATTCAAAAGAAAAACTCAGTATTTTAGATTAAGAACCTTCAATAGAGTAATTAAAGGAAATTGAAAGAAATTAAAGTATAATATGGAAATAAGTGTAAGGTAGTTAATGATTAAAAATTTAGAATATGAAAATCATCGTATTGAACACATCTAAGGTTAAATTGTTAAGACAGTCCATCCATTAAAATGTAGTTTAAAAAGAGCAATTGAATTATCAACTACATAAAAACATAAATGGGTCAATACTATGATTGTAAGATAAATAGTAAAATAAATTGAACCTAATAAATAAATAATTGCAGAAACTTATTTATGGTAAGATAAACAACTCTTTAAGAAAGTAGTTTTTTTCTCTGAAGAAACTTTAATAATTAATGTATATATATATTTAAAGTTATATTTAAGGATGATAATTTTGAAATTTAAATGAGACCAGTATATGAATGTCAGTCTTATGAATAATTTTAGAAATGCGATGAAACGAGTATAATCATTTAATATTTTATAGGTCAAAAGGTATAAGTGACATATGGAATTTATAATAATGGTATCACCACAGTAACAATAATTCAAAATTTGTTTGATAGAGTACAATAACTACAATATACTCCTGTGCTTTTAAAAGAAGTCGACTACTTTGAAAAAACAGTCTAATAGCTAAAACTTTTATTATAAACTCAGTGAATATTTATTATAATAATTATATCAATATAGTTTTCATATTTTGGAAATAAACTTAAAATAATTAAAATGAGATTATTTAAAATGTGTTAAATACTATTCGATAATCAAATGATTGAAGATTATTAAATTGATCTGATGGCAACATTTATCTAATCAGATAAGAATTAAAATATTATAATTATAATAAACAATTAAAATATAAATGACTTCTAATTTTAGTGAGCCCTTTATTGTTTTAAAAAATTATAGACAATAATAATAAGAAGCAAAAAAAGAATAAACCAAAATAAAATCATAAGTAAAACCAAAAGAACCATAACCAAAGGAAATATAAAAAAAGATTAAGAAACAAACTAAAATAAGTTAAATTCAACAACAATAATAACCTATTGCTTAAAAAATAGATCCAAATCTCTTCTCTAAACTTTTGTAATAACATTAATAACAATAACTTATGTTTTAATAATTATTATAAAATCCTCAGATTAATGTCCAAGATGATGATTTAGACTAATATTCTCCAGTTTATTTATATGGAATTCCTAAGACTCCATAAAATATATCTCTCCCAAGAGGTTCAATTAGAGATGAAGATGAATTCAAAATTTGATTATTCATATTTATTTAGTTTAAATAAATACTTATTTTTAATAATTTTTAGACCCTATTATTAGTAATGATGTAATATTGAAAAGAAAGATTTACTTAGAAATTTATTAATTTCTTTTTATAATTAAAAAATTCCTTATTTACAATCCAATAATTTTATCAAGGTGTTTTTAAGCTATTAATCATCCGTAAATAATCTTTACAATAAAGACTTTAAATATATTCTTAAAATATCAAAATATCTTTCATTAATATAATAAAGAAAGTTAATTTATATAATTATATTATAAAAGTAAATAAATATTTTTACTTTAATTCTTTTAAGTTCTATACTTATTTCTATACTTATTTCTATATCTTAATATAAGTTTGTGTTACTATACTAAATTTAATAATTATTTTTCTAATAGTGAAATGATGCAATATTTTGAATAATAAACATAGGATAGATCATTCTTAGATTATTTCGAAATTCTCTAAGTCAGTAATTAAAGTTTTTGTAATTTAGTATAAAATTCTAAATTAATATCATTGCATCATTATATAAAGATATGAGAATATAATAATCTTCTTCAAAAAGGTTTATATGACTTAGTTGTTGGTTGATACAAATCTAATTGCTATATATATGAAAAGGATCTATGAGAATTAGTTTCAGTTTTCGAATTAAAATCATATTTTAATATATATTAACAAGGAAATAAATGCAAAATAATAATTTTAGAAAGCCTTATTTCTCAGTTCACAACATCCCTTAAACATCTGATTAAAGAAGAAGAGCTAAAATAATATAAAAAAAAAATAACATTAAACTAAAGAATATTAATGTACCAAAATTAGAAAGAAGCCTAAGTGCACCTCATAATATGAAATTTTTTGGAAAGATATTTATACCTCCCCAGATGTTTAGAAGCCAATAATAATAATAACATAGTATTAAAGATTCTTTATCTCCAACAAGATTATCGAAAATAAGAACTGGAAGAAATACACTCAAATTTTCGGAACATATTTCTAATGAACCAAGTCCTTAAGTAATTGTTAACAAGTAAAAAGATGAAGATTAAGTTAAAGAAGTATAGAAAAGAAAAAGTTGTGATTGTTCTGAATGTGGTAAGTAATCCTTATTCTAGAGAGAAACAATGAATTATGGAGTTTAAATTAATTAATTAATGAGAGAGTAGGAATCTGCTATTAACAAATTTAAAAGATCAATACGAAAATAGTAAACACTGTTATTCCCTTAATATCTCAATTCTCCAAAAAATAGTGCAAATAATGAAAATATAGTTGAAGAAATCTAAATTCTCAGAGATGATATTATGATCAAATCTTTTGCTCACAGACCTACTTTAAGTAGCTTAGTCTTTGAAGAATAAATCACCGTTAATAAATTATCTCCTATTCATTCATCAAGAAGAATTAAACATACCTGTTTTGAATCTTTTTTAATCAAATAGTAAATAATTATGAATTAAGAAAAATAATAATTCACTAGATAAACAGGATTATTTGAATCTTTACATAAAAAGAACAATTTTTCTAATAAAAATACTTAAATGCATACTCCATTAGTACTTACTCCTAGATCTCCAGCTTCATCTATTATTACAGGTTTTCCATCTTAATCTCCTGTCAAAAAAAAAAATTAAAGTAATATTTATTTACAGCCTCAAAAATCAAAGTTCTTTATAAACTAAAATAGAATTACAACTCTTCCTGAGGTACATTAATGAAGGTTACTAATAATGATCAAAGATTTTGTTTTTTGTCATATCCTCAAAATTTTATAATTTTTATACATTTTTATTTTAATATTATTTTCTCTATTCAAAGTAATCAATTTTGTATTTTAAAAGAAACTTTAATCATATAAGATTATATATTTCAAATTAATCAATTTTTATTTCAAAATATAGATTCTCTTGTGATTAACACTTTTTTTATTTCTTAACTTTAAATATTTGAAATGCAGGTTGCACAAAATTAAAACACATCATCAAATTATGTATAATTTGTAATTTTATAATAAAAGTTATGATGAATAATTGATTCAAATCAATCATTTGAATAGAGTAAATTATACAATAATAATAGAATAATAATATAATTTTAAATTACTAAAAAAAATTAGTTTTATAAGGAATAAAATAAATATAAGAAATTATTAAAACTGTTATATCCTATAATTTTCAATTATCTTGAAATAACTCTCCTTGATTCTTAATATTATATCTAAAATTCAATTAATTTATTACCTCTATGTATCAATAAATATAAAGGTGAATATAAAACATTAAAAGAATAAAATAAAAATCAAATGATCATATATATTACCGTCTAAATAATAAAATACGAATTGATCTTCGAAATCAGTACAAGGTCATTGTGTATCTTACTAAATAAAAGTTAAAATAAATAAATTAGCCTATATCATTTAACAGTATTGTTTGGTAGAAAAGCTGCTAATAATCTTAAGTCATTGAATATTTTTAAAATAGTTAAGAAATTATTCTATAACAAATTCTTATTTAAGAAATAATTCACAAAGTATCATAATTCATTAAAGGTATTACTTTTTTTATTAATTTAAAAAAAAAACAAAAAGAAAATAACATGAAAAATTTGATATAGTAATCAATTAGATAATGATTGCAACTTTATAAATCTAACTGGATTTTTAAGATTATTTAGATAGCTTTTGAGTAATAACATAATATGATTATGACTATTCTTTTTCAACTAGTTTTAAATTAAAATGAATAATTAACTGAATATCTCTCTCTAAATAGTTGAGTGTTATTAAATTTATTTCTATAAAAATTCCCTGGATTCAATATCATTTTAATCAATCTAATCTGAAAAATTTTTCTTAATTAAGAAAAATCATTTAAAAAATGTTCTAATTTCTGAGAAAATTAAACTATTAATTTTTTTTTTCTTTATCTTTATCAGGATCATTTCCATTATATCATATTCCTCTAAATATAATATAATATTAGAATTGGTTGGAAATTAAAAGGATTACATAAATTTTAATGATATAAAAATTTCTTTTAAAAATTAATAATTATATTAAAAAATACATATATGGTTAATTACTCTTAATTTGATTATTACTTACCTATTTAAGAACTTAAACCATGAAAAACTCCATAATTTTCATATTCAATTTCTCAAAACTGATTTTTTCAATAATTTTATCACTTATTAAGTCTATGGCTTTTTCTCTTAATATACATCATGGTAAGGTAACCACATCTTAAACCTAATTATTTTGTCTAAATAATTATTTCTTTTTTTAATAAATATATTTTTCTAATATGAAAACTATAAATTAATAAAAAAAATGATAAAACAAAAAATAGAAAAATCAATCGACAAACAAATTGATGGTGAAAACAATTCTTATCAATATTACAAACAAAAAAGACTTGTGTATTATGAAAAAATCTAAGAGCTTGAAGAATAAATTGAAATGAAATAAAGAAGAAATAAAATTATAGATTACGAAATCAAAATGAAATTGAGAGATTTAAATAATGTTGAAAAAATATTTGATATCAATAAAGAGCTTGAAGTCAATGAAGTTAAAACTTAGAATAATGAATAAAAATCTAACACCTCAACAACTATATATAAGTAAATTATTTTTCAATTTATGAATAGTATGCAACTCTAGCAAAAGTAATAAAATTAACATTAGTTTTTACAAAAATAAAAACTTTCCTAAGAATTTTTTTCAAATGAGATGGAAAAGTATTTTTAATACTTCGAAAGTTGCATCGAATAAGAAATAAATTAGGAGTTAGAGATAAAAAATGATGATGAGAAAATTTATATATCTCCTATGGTTAAGTATCATGCAATATAAATATAGTGTTTTATTAAATTATTAGATCCTTAATAGCGTACATAAATAAATTAAAGAACAGCAGATAATTCAGATTATATAACAACTACCTTCAGATATTAAAAATCTGATACTTTTGAAAATTTGAAACTTATTTGTCTTTAATATTGGAACATTATTGAAATTGATCATATATACGCACCTGAAACTTTTAATAAAGATTAAAATTAATATTATATCAAAACAAAAAAATATGAATTTTTTGCTCCTGATTTGATTATAATCCCAAATACAGAATTGATTGAAAGATATTGTGAAAATTTTGATAAGAAATATGAAAAAGAAAAATATGTTCATGCCATTCTTAAAAAAAAAGCCATAAAATTTTAGAGTCAATAAGATCAAAGAGAAACTCATCAATAAGCAATGGATTCTTAATCTGCCAGTTAATTCATTAGTAGAACTTTAAGAGATTAAACTCTAATAAATTACACTACTCAAGCTGAAGATAGTTAATTAATTTATTAGCAATAGTAAAATTCTATTTCTGGTGATTTAAGTTTGGATGATGCAAATTTTATAATTAGCAACATGATATAGAAAATGAAATAATCTCTAACTAAAAGTTATTTTAGTTTTATGTAAAGATTTCCCTTGCTTAAAAAAATGTTTTAAATAGATACATTTGAATTAGAACTTCGAGATAATAAAAATCTTAAAAGAAAAGGACTTAAAATTGATGATTACAATATTTTAGTAGTTTTATTAATTCTAATCCTTTTGATTTTAAACTGCTTACAATATTCTCTAATTCCAAATTAAGCTGCAATTTAGAGTCACCTAAGTAAAATTGAGGCTATTTTAGAATTAGGTTAAAATTAAGAATTTTTACGTATTTCCACTTTAGACGGAATTTTTAGTTATTTTAATGAGTTTAATAAATTTCCTTTTTATTTATTCAACAAAGAATCTTAATTAAACAAATACTATGAAGTTATTGGAGCTGTAAGATTTAGAAATATAAAAGTTAAAGAAATGCAATGTTAGTTTTCAATTAGATCTGACATAAAAAGCACTATATAATGTTATTAATCAAAATAAAGTATTGATACAATAGAGACTAAAATATTGTCTGAAGGAAATTAAGACTGGATGCTTTTTAAATCAATTAATGATATTACTATAAATAGAATTACAAAAGGAAAGTTTGGTGATTATGATGCATCAGGATACATAAAAGATTTAAAAAAATCTAAATAAAAAATGACTTATTATAGAAAGCAAATAACCTATGAAATGTTTTAAAATAACGATTATCTTAATGTTAATACTTTGGCTCTCATTATTACTTTTACTCTAAAAAGTAAATTAGACTCAAGCTTTTTTTTTATTGAGTTACTGCTTGAAAATACAAATCTTGGTATCCATCCTAATACACCAAAAATTAAGAATTTTAGATTAGCAAACCTTGATAAAATTGAAGAAGAAATTCTTATACTCACATATTTTAAACTATTTTTTTCAATCTGCTTTGTAATTTACTTGCTATTTGTGATTATTACCTTTAGCAAAGAATTTTCCATCATTTAATCTGAATAAACAAAATTTGGAAACGCTTTCACATACTTTATATCTCTTATATTTTTAATGAATATATTTGTATTATTTACAAACTTTGCCAATATTTAATAAACTTTTAAGTTACTTTCTGATTAATATAATCCAAAAAAAATAATTGAGCTCGAGGATTTTGAGGATTTTGGAAATTTTGCAGAAACTTATTAAAATTATTTTTCCTATTTAGGTTTTTCTATAGCTGCACTTATGTTAAGAAGTGTTTTATTTTTAGGTATTTTTCAAAGTATGCTTAATTTAATATAATCGATTTAATTATCATACCTCTAAATTATGATAAGCTTTAAAATATTTATACTAATACTTCTCAGTTTTTGTATGATTATGAGGTCTTTGTAAGGACCTTACTCTTTTGAGTTTAGTACCTTTGATTTGGCATTTACATCCCTACTTTAAATCCTGATGAATTCTTATGATGTTAGGAAATTACTAGAAAATAATTAGTTATTAACAACTTTTATCTTGACTTTTTTTTATTTTTTGTTAGCTTACTTTACGTTTAATATGATTATTGTTGTTTATATTGATTCTTATAGGTAAAGGAAAATGAATATCTAGACAAACTAAATTAAGAAGTACTTAAATAATTGACAAATCTATGAGTAATCTATAGTATGGTTTCCGTTGGTTACTTTATTGGTTACCAAAATCAATTTAAGATAAGATTTTGAATTAAATTTTTTGAATTTCATATTTCTAATTTAATATCTAAAGATATTTATGTAAAAATTATTAAACTCATTATAATTTCATGGATAAACTGAATGGACCCCTTAAACATGAATAGTAAATCTATTTTTATAAAATTTCCCTTCTTATTGAAAATTAAAAATAATATCTTGTTGAGTATTAATTGAAAAAAAATTAATCTATGGATTTTAAATATGATACGTAAGACTTGCAATAATAAAAAGATAAGGATTAATTAAATTTGATGAATATCGATTATAATAAGAAACTCAATTAAAAATATACAATTTGATTTTTTTTAGTTTATTTGGAATTCAAGAAAAAATTAAAGAAATAAATAATTTCATATAAGATCCTACCAATCGATAATTGTAGATCATCTTAAAAAAAACTTATTAAATAATTTATTATGTATATATTTTCTCAAATATTTTATTTATTGAACCAATATTTACCTTCTCCATCAAATTTTAGAATGTATTCATGAAACTTAAATAATGATTATCTATGTGAAACCGTAAACAAAGTAATATTTAAATCTTTGGCTTTATTATACATGATTGCTTCAATATCCATACTAACAGAAGAAGTACATTCATCTATAAAACTTTTAATAAAAAATAATACCTAAAATAGCATATTAAGGTTTATGATAGAATAATCTAGCCATAGCAATACGTTGTTTTTCTCCTCCACTTAAAACATCATTCCAATCATTATTAGAATCTAATCCTCTTTCTCTATAAAGTAAATATTCTAATTAGACATCTTCCAATAATTTATTAAGATCTTAATCATTAATTTTTCTCCTTAGCATTTATAATTTAGTATGTGGATATATAATTTAATCCCTTAAGGTTCCAGGAGGTAAATAGGGTCTTTAAGGAATATAAAATAATTTATCAATTGCAGGTCTGTATAAAGTACCTCCTTAAACAGGCCATAAAGCTCCCAAAATTCTAAAAAGAGATGATTTACCACAACCATTAGGTCCACTAATTATAACATTCATTCCAGGAGTAATTTTAAAAGACATACCTTTTATTAATGTATCTCCATTTGGAGAAATAATTGGAACATTATCAAATTCTATAATATCATCAGTTTAAATTATCTAATTTTAATAATTTTACTTACTTAACCTTTATCTAATTGAATTGTTTAATGTTTTTATTATTCAACTTATACTGTTCCGGTTGCATTATCTCCTTAAACTTGTGTTCTTTTATAATATCCAGTTGTTAAATCTGATAAAACTTCCTTAATTTCATAAACAACTCTTGTATATCCAGCTAATTGTTGTATTTCCTTATAACTAACAACTAATCTACCAATAGCTTTAGCCAAATTAATTAATAATGAGCTATTACTGACATAATCTCTTGTGATAGCACTTTTATCATTTCCTATTTTTTTCAAATATTCTTCTCTATTAGGACCAAAAACTGGTAATCCCATGATTCCATATCCTGCCATAACTGCTCCATATTTTACAAGTAGTCCATCAAATATTCCCATAAATAATCTTAATTTATTCACTAATATTTAATGCTTATTCAATTATGAGTACGATTAATTTATCTTCAATTTCTCCCAATTTTATCCTTATAAAAATGCTACTTCTTCTGCATGATATAAAAGTTGACTATGAACATTTCTATATTCACCTTCTAACTTTTAATCGATTGCAGTTAGTTTACCAAAAGCTGGAGATACTAATTTTAATAATACCCCTGAAAAAAAATACCATAAGAACACATACATAGGTCCTTAATATCCAATTGAAACTGATAATTTTTTTGAGAATAAAACTATATCTAAAATTGGTTTAGAAAAATTTGAGTAAATTTGTGATAATGAATTAGCCCATTTTTCTATATCTGTTGTTAATCTCTAATCAGGATTAGTAACACGACTATCCAGATTGGATACTTAATAGAAGATCATATTTTTGATATATTAATCGTGGAAGTATTCGGTTAATCTTCTTCTAAATCTTAAGGAAAGTGATTTATTCAAATATTCTAAATAACTATTAACAAAACTTGCAGGTATAGCAACCAAACCCAATTAAACAATCTAAATATTTATTTTTTCATACTTTTTTTATAAACTTTTACAAATCACCATTAATAATTGTTTTAACTATTCTACCATTCAAAGATGAGATATATATACTCATCATAGTACGAATGACTAAAAACACTGTTAAAACACTTAAATCTAATACTTCCATGCTCTTAATTGATGGAATAACAATTTTCAATAGATCTAAAATTCTGTTTATAAACACTTTATCAACATTTCCTTAACCTTGTTTCCTAGGTATTTTTCTAGGAGAAGATGCTTCTTTTTTTGATTTTACAATCATTAGAATTAAAACCAACAATGCCCCTGAAAGTGCTTTATTCTAAAATGACTGAGGTAAAGGAATCTTAGATAGCACACTAGGCATTAAAAATTAATTTAATTTATATCAAAAAAATAATAATTAATTAATCATCTTATGACGAGACAACTAAAAAAAGTACTTAAAATATATTTATAAAAATATTTCGAAGAGCATTTTTTAATAATAAGAAAATAATTATTTGGAATATAAGCTCTATTGACTTAAAAAATAAAATTAGAAAATCATGTGAACCAACTTGCGCTACTCATTAAATTAAATCATCTTAAAAAAAACTTATTAAATAATTTATTATGTATATATTTTCTCAAATATTTTATTTATTGAACCAATATTTACCTTCTCCATCAAATTTTAGAATGTACTCATGAAACTTAAATAATGATTATCTATGTGAAACCGTAAACAAAGTAATATTTAAATCTTTGGCTTTATTATACATGATTGCTTCAATATCCATACTAACAGAAGAAGTACATTCATCTATAAAACTTTTAATAAAAAATAATACCTAAAATAGCATATTAAGGTTTATGATAGAATAATCTAGCCATAGCAATACGTTGTTTTTCTCCTCCACTTAAAACATCATTCCAATCATTATTAGAATCTAATCCTCTTTCTCTATAAAGTAAATATTCTAATTAGACATCTTCCAATAATTTATTAAGATCTTAATCATTAATTTTTCTCCTTAGCATTTATAATTTAGTATGTGGATATATAATTTAATCCCTTAAGGTTCCAGGAGGTAAATAGGGTCTTTAAGGAATATAAAATAATTTATCAATTGCAGGTCTGTATAAAGTACCTCCTTAAACAGGCCATAAAGCTCCCAAAATTCTAAAAAGAGATGATTTACCACAACCATTAGGTCCACTAATTATAACATTCATTCCAGGAGTAATTTTAAAAGACATACCTTTTATTAATGTATCTCCATTTGGAGAAATAATTGGAACATTATCAAATTCTATAATATCATCAGTTTAAATTATCTAATTTTAATAATTTTACTTACTTAACCTTTATCTAATTGAATTGTTTAATGTTTTTATTATTCAACTTATACTGTTCCGGTTGCATTATCTCCTTAAACTTGTGTTCTTTTATAATATCCAGTTGTTAAATCTGATAAAACTTCCTTAATTTCATAAACAACTCTTGTATATCCAGCTAATTGTTGTATTTCCTTATAACTAACAACTAATCTACCAATAGCTTTAGCCAAATTAATTAATAATGAGCTATTACTGACATAATCTCTTGTGATAGCACTTTTATCATTTCCTATTTTTTTCAAATATTCTTCTCTATTAGGACCAAAAACTGGTAATCCCATGATTCCATATCCTGCCATAACTGCTCCATATTTTACAAGTAGTCCATCAAATATTCCCATAAATAATCTTAATTTATTCACTAATATTTAATGCTTATTCAATTATGAGTACGATTAATTTATCTTCAATTTCTCCCAATTTTATCCTTATAAAAATGCTACTTCTTCTGCATGATATAAAAGTTGACTATGAACATTTCTATATTCACCTTCTAACTTTTAATCGATTGCAGTTAGTTTACCAAAAGCTGGAGATACTAATTTTAATAATACCCCTGAAAAAAAATACCATAAGAACACATACATAGGTCCTTAATATCCAATTGAAACTGATAATTTTTTTGAGAATAAAACTATATCTAAAATTGGTTTAGAAAAATTTGAGTAAATTTGTGATAATGAATTAGCCCATTTTTCTATATCTGTTGTTAATCTCTAATCAGGATTAGTAACACGACTATCCAGATTGGATACTTAATAGAAGATCATATTTTTGATATATTAATCGTGGAAGTATTCGGTTAATCTTCTTCTAAATCTTAAGGAAAGTGATTTATTCAAATATTCTAAATAACTATTAACAAAACTTGCAGGTATAGCAACCAAACCCAATTAAACAATCTAAATATTTATTTTTTCATACTTTTTTTATAAACTTTTACAAATCACCATTAATAATTGTTTTAACTATTCTACCATTCAAAGATGAGATATATATACTCATCATAGTACGAATGACTAAAAACACTGTTAAAACACTTAAATCTAATACTTCCATGCTCTTAATTGATGGAATAACAATTTTCAATAGATCTAAAATCCTGTTTATAAACACTTTATCAACATTTCCTTAACCTTGTTTCCTAGGTATTTTTCTAGGAGAAGATGCTTCTTTTTTTGATTTTACAATCATTAGAATTAAAACCAACAATGCCCCTGAAAGTGCTTTATTCTAAAATGACTGAGGTAAAGGAATCTTAGATAGCACACTAGGCATTAAAAATTAATTTAATTTATATCAAAAAAATAATAATTAATTAATCATCTTATGACGAGACAATTAAATAATATAATTATATTTTATTTATATATAATGAGAAAAATCATAAATTTTAGAATAAGAGAAAATTTTTCAATATAGTTTATAATTTATTATTATTTAAATATTTAGCATGTGATCGAGTTTTCAATTAGCCTAAAAAGGTTATTTTCTTACATATTCAAAAATTGCTTGTTCAGTTTAAATTTATTTCTCAATTTCTTATTAAGCTTAATTTCCTATCTTTCTTTTTAGGTAAACTAATTTTTATGTATAAAATTATCTTAATCTAGGATCCATATGTGGATTACCTTTAAGGATTTCATTTGTATTTTAACTTTGTTTTTCTTCTTGTGTGTTCTGGATAAATAGGATAATTTACCACATTTTTAATTGCATTCATAGCAGGTACCTCTTTATTCCAAATTTAATCTTTTTATTGAGGTGACGTTATTAAAATTGTCAGGTGAATTTTTCTACTTACAGCAAATAATTCTTTAACTTTCTTGTCATCTCTAATAACCTAAGAATATTATATATGATCATAGGACCATGGATAAGCTTAGTTATATAACAATATTTAAATAATTTCTATATACCTTGCAGAGCCTTTACCATGAGCATAATCAGTGGCTATATATAAAGGAGTCCTATAAACAATGTCCTTAGCATCAACATCAGCGTTATGCTGTATTAAAATTTTTACTAAGTTTGGGAATCCCCGTTTTGCTGCCCAGTGCAAACCTGTCATATGTGCATTATCAAAATCATAAACCAAATATGGAACTTTTTGTAATAACCTAACAACTATGAGTTCTTGATTATCTTTAATAGCTTAGAAAAAATCTATTGAGCTTTCTTTTGAGTATGGATGTGGACTAAATACATGATCTCTAATAACCTAAGCATGAGTAAGCTTACACCTCTTTAATCTTCTAACATAAGACATTATACAGGCCTTTAGTTTTTATCCTTTTTTATAATTTTAAGGTTGATTTTGTG